CGATTCACTGGATTAATCGAAGCTGTAAGATCGATCTAAAAAATCGAGACTCGAATACAAAAGAATCGATTCTTCGAAAAAAAGAACAAGAAGCTTAAGTGCAATAAATATAAACAACACGAACCGCCTATTTATAGAAAACCATTTATTATTAGTCTCAAAACATTTATTATTCAAAATAATTATAACTATCACATTTTTCCAAAAACTCACATTTTTAAAAAGAAAATTATTCTTCTATAATTTTATTATTTAAAAAACGAGTGTATTGTGTGTCATGTATATAAAATAAAACAACATTAGAAACTATATATAAAACAAATTTAAGTATGCAGCAAGATCATGCCATGCATGATTCATTAAATATTGTAATTCTTATTTTATTTCTTTTTTTATTATTTTACAGAATTACCATAAAAATAATAACTTCGATATAGAATCACATATCATTTATTATATATCATTTATTTTAAAACTCTTTCCACAAATTAATCTAAAAGTTTTATCTAATTATCTAATGTTTTTTCACTTTTCTTATATACATTTTTTTTTTATTGCATTTTATATGTTTGACTATGAAGTCTTTCATTCTTTATTCTTCATCAACATTTATTGTTTTCGATCATATTATTATATTAATCTGCCACATGCTTCGAACTCATGCGCAATACATATTTCCGGACATCTTAAGAGAAAGAAGTATCAAAAAGTATGTCTTTCTGTTTAATTTTCCGCGGACACTGTTTCTTATGCAGAAACTATAGCAATTGCCAGTCCATATCTATAAGGTCTATGATAGTCCTACACGGAACATGAGATCCATTAAAGATTCACATAACCTCCATGGCCTTCATGCGACATCTATCTCAATGGTGAAAGTCAGATAAATCTCTAATGGAGATTATACTATCTCCATTATGGAGCTCTAATGAAGCTCCATACCAAACTTCCATTAGACGTCTTATGAAGGTTGTATGGCTGAATTACAGATGTTTCATAAAACTTTCATGAATCATATACAAAGCTTAATTGGAGGAGGTTTTAGATCCTTTGTAGATTACTTTATGATAAAAATTGGGAATATATACTTATAAATAAATTAAAAATTTATTGCATATATCTTATTTATTCGATTCATTTGATTGTATATAAATGATTATACTAAACACAAGAAAATATATATTGTCGAATAAGAGAAATAATATTTAATACGATCATAATATTTAATACGATCAATAAATATGTAAATGAGTAAATAGAATATATACGTAAATTTATAAACACTACTCACATGAAACATGATATTAAAAATCCATATAACATATAATCTTCACACCTTTATACAGTGATTCAGAACAACCGTTTGTCCTTAAAGGAGCATATTTCTGATTTTATTCTAAGACAATTCTAAGACAATTTTTCCTTAACCAAAATTTTATCCGAAGCTTAGTTTTTAAATTATAAGCAGAAATAGTTTACTAATTATGGGCTGAGTATAGAAGGTAGGCAAGGACGGTGCCAACTCACCGTCCGACGCGGGTGATTACGCGAGGCGCATGCTGTGATCAGCTGCTTTGTTACGAGACACAAACACACATGCACATTCGCGTTCACATGCAGGCATGCACACATACGCACGCACACGTACACGTATACACACACTTACCTTATAAAAATTCGATGTCTTCGTACCTTGCAAAAAACGGACAGAAAATTTTATTTGCCGTGATAGCAACTCTTTTCCATGCGACGAATCCACACCGAATAAATCAAAGTTTTTTTTTCTTGAATTATATCAATATTCACACACTTGATTGATTTATAAAAATCCAAATCTATCCATCACTATTAACCGCTACCGATTAATTATTTGGCGACTGAGAATTACTCGAATTAAACAGCACATTACATACAATTAGAGAAATTAGAAATTTTCTTTTTCTTATAAATTGTATCATTATCAACACGTTTACTGACGTACTCGATCGATAAAATAAGGCCTTTACGAATGAATCGGTTCATCAGTAATAATCACTATCAGTTAATCATTCGGCGAATGAGAATACTTAATAAAAAAAACACATTATGCATAATCTTCTAATAATCGAAGGATTATTGAGCAAAATATCAATCGTCTCATCCTATTTATACGATCTCCGTGGGAGACCATGTCTCCCTCCGCGCACCCCCCCCTCCGCGCATAGGAGATCGCGGATTGAGAACCACAAACCATCATGTCCCCCTCCGCGCTACCCCGCATGAATAGGAGGGATTTGCGAGTATCAATCCGCAATCTCCTATTGGTCTTCTGGTCTCCCACGGAGATCATATAAATAGGATGAGACGATCGATACTTCGCTCAATAATCCTTCGATTATTAGAAAAATTGTTCTTATCAAGACAAGGGAACATTTACGAATGAAGAATATTATTAATAAGAATATACGATATGCTGATGGCATTTGGCGAGTGCCATGGGCAATATCATGCTGCTGCAACGATACGCCAAATTGTACCAAACCGAGCAAGATATCCATCGGCTTCTGTTATACTTCGAGCTGCTCAAAGGCTATACGAAACTGACAGTGTCCTTCCAAACAAACACGACACTGGGAGAGATCGCGAGGCAAAAAATTTGCGGAATATGAGACAGTTGTATATGCTTTCGAGCAAAATCCGAAAACGAATATTCGGATCATTACTCGAGAACACGATTTATCGCGATATATGCAACTATACACGATATATGCAACTATACAAAGGATATTGCAAGAAGAAAAATTGCACGCATTTTACTACACACGCGTGCAACATTTACGATCTGAAGATTATTTTCTAAGAAGAACATTCTGCGAAAATTTTTTAAGAAACATCAAACGAAATCCCAGATTTGCTTCTCATGTGATATTCAGTGATTTCAGTGATGAATCACACTATTTACACAAGAAGGAATTTTACATACAACATAACTTGCTACAATCTATGGATTGCTTATTATTGTCAAACAGAACTTCTCATCGAGTAACGTGTGTCGTGTATGTAACGCATTTTTATCAAATTATTTCCAAACCAGCCGATTAATCGGTAATAATTAAATGTAATTTAGTGCTTTGTAATTTATTATTCGTGAATTTTTCGATTTATTGATCACGTGCGTAAATCCGTAAAAGTGTTGATATGTGTTTATAAATAATTGATTATTGCAATTATGCATATTGTGTTTTTTTTCATCAAGTATTCTCATTCGCCGAATGATTAACTGATAGTGATTATTACTGATAAACCGATTCATTCGTAAAGGCCTTATTTTATCGATCGAGTGCGTCAGTAAACGTGTTAATAATGTGATACAATTTATAAGAAAAAGAAAATTTCTAATTTCTCTAATTGTATGTAATGTGCTATTTAATTCGAGTAATTCTCAGTCGCAAAATAATTAATCGGTAGCGATTAATAGTGATGGACCGATAGATTTGGATTTTTATAAATCAATCGAGTGCGTGAGTATTGATATAATTCAAGAAAGAAAAACTTTAATTTATTCGGTGTGGATTCGTCACATGGAAAAGAGTTGCTATCACGGCAAATAAAATTATCTGTCCGTTTTTTTGCAAGGTACGAAGACATCGAATTTTTACAAGGTAAGTGTGTGTATACGTGTACGTGTGCGTGCGTATGTGTGTATGCCTGCGTGCGAGCGCGAATGTACATGTGTGTTTGTGTCTCGTAGCAAAGCAGCTGATCGCAGCATGCGCCCCACGTAATCACTTGCGTCGGTGCCTATCTTCTATATTCAGCCCATAATTGATAAACTATTTCTGCTTATAATTTAAAAACTAAGCTTCGGATAAAATTTTGGTTAAAAAGGAAAAATTAGAATAAAATCAGGAATACGCTCCTTTAAGGACAAACGATTGTTCTGAATTACCCTATATATAAAATTATATAATTATCTACAAAAATTGCACACGCTATCAGAACATTGATATTGAGACTATTTGAATCTTATGACAATGTGATAACATTTACTGATCGGAGATCTGTCATATTTTTATATAAAAATTCTAAATTTAATTATACTATTGTTCCAGTATCTGATTTCAGCCGATTACAGAGGTGAAGCGAGCTCGATCGTGTATACAAAGATGGGTGACCCTCGAAAAAATTATGTGACGTTACCGACATTTACAATATAAAAAAGGATTTCATTAGTTCCATTGCACGTTATGTATGTATGTGCGCTTCGTTCCTTCAAAGAAATATTTTTGTTCAGCATAAAAAATTTTTTTATTAACTTTTTTTGTAGAGATCTTCTGGATTCATGACTGTCTAATAGAAGTTAACTTTCATGGTGGACCTCTAATAGACATCTATTAGAGGTTTTTGTTCTGCGTGGGTCGTCACTATCAAGACTCCATGAACTCTCTATTAGCAATCCACCTAACATCTAACAGACGTCTATGGAACAGACATCTAATAGAGGTCTCATAGACTTCCACAAATCGGAATTGTGAATTTCTTGTGGACGTCTACTGGAAGTCTAATGGCCGTCTAATGAATATCCATGACCGACGTCTAATGGATGTCCACTGAAGGATTTTGTTCTATGTAGGTAAATATTAAATTTGATAGAAAGTCGTATTAAAGTAGATTAGAAAATCGGACGCTAATAATTAATAATATTATACATAAATATATAAATATACATATCGTTTTTAAATTTATACTTACTGTTTAATGTCTTACAAATGCTTGAAATTTTTTTGAAGTTATTTTTTTTTATTACAAAGATTTTATATTATATTAAAATTTGATTTATGTTGTGGCGATTATATCGTCATGACTCTCACGACATTTTTTCGGCAATATTTGGATTTCGAATTATCTATTCTCAGAGAACATTATTCTCGCATTAAATATATGCAAATATGAAGATGTTATATATCCGATATCAACAGAACAGATTTATTTTCTATATTTTCTTGTAATAATTTCGTTTTGTATTGTTTGGAACTAGACATATATTCCATGATCGTTATTTTCAAATTTTTGTAATACCGAATTTTTGCGGGTTGAAAACATAATTCGAAACGTTTAATGATCAAGACAGTAGACAAGAGACAAACAAGTAAATAAGACAATAATAGCAAATAAGATATTTATTTAAGAATAATCTCGAAGGAGAAAAGTATAGGGAAGAGAGTTGATACGGACATGTACAGATGTAGTCCGTAGTTCTTAAATCACGAATAAAAGACACTTTGATAAATCGGATTTTTGCATAATATTCGATCTTTCCGCCTCCGTTTGGCATTCCATATAGTATATATTACTCAAAATGTATATGAAGGAAATAATCAGAGGAAGAAAAAATAGAAATGGCAAACAATAAAGAAATAACAATTATAAAAATAGACAGCGTAGGAAATATTCTCGTAAATGAAAATGGATACGTTACATGTATCTCAGAAGGTATTAAAATTGTCCATCTAAATTTAGTATTTACATAACTAAGAGTTTTACATAACTAAGAGTACGTCAAGGGCTTACTACAAATGCTTTGAAGCATTTTTTGATTGGTGCATTAGTAAAATTCTTTGTTTTGATTGGACAATCAAACGCTTCGAAGCATTTGTAGTGTTACATTGACTGTAGCCTAAGTAATATTTAAACAGTAACTATATGAAAATAAGAATTTCTCTTAAGATCTAAAAGACCTTAATATTTACATTTCAATATATATAGCATCAAGTAGCATAAAAGTCATACTTTATTAAAGTAATTAATAAGTAATTTATAATAAGTAATTTGTTTTCATTAGAAGACAAATCTAATATTTTCATATAGATAATATTGGACGTCATTGCTTTCTTGTACTAAATCTTGTACTAAATCATTTTCTATTCCTTAGCTGCACGCTTACACTCTTGCACTAGTTCAGTTCTAGTGTAGCCCTAGTGCGGGAATAAAAAACAAAGTCCTAGAATAAGCCTTCAATATACTAAACTATAGAAAACGGCTCAGCGAAGAAAAGGATGGGCATACTAAAGTTGGAATTTTTATCTCTTTTCTACAGTGTACTTATTGGTTAACCTTATGGTAGGAGAATAACATTAACCAAATCCAAGAATCTCTTGACAAAAAGAGCAATACCAATTCGCACGTTGTCTTTTTTTAGTAAATGAGACATCTCCACTCCTCGAAGGCTCACTCCAATATACTATGAGAGCTCAATGAGTGGGAAAGACTGACATTTCAGTAGAACCAACATGACTTCTGTTTGTCGAATATAAACATATATGTATTCTTCAGAGGTTATATTTGTTTATATTACTGAAGTTACACTTATAGTTGATTAAAAAAATGGATTTTGAAATTTTATTGAATCATCAATTAAACATATCAAATATAATTAATCATTGCACTTTAGCAATTATGCAAACACATATAATATTCTGGCAGAACATATTCGAGCATGGCTCGAGCCTCCGAATAAGAAGGGAGGGTATGCGTCACGGCGGGGCCCCGACTATGAAAAGTCATGACTTTTCATGAAAACTCGTAATTATTTTGCGAAAAAATATCATCTCAGCCAGGAATTGAACCTGGATCTCTTGTTTACCGGGCAGGCATCTTATTCTTTCGACTACCGAGTCATGTGATAATATTTATCGCAAATAACGTGTTTAGAATAACACGTCAACAATACAATGATACACATATATACGTATATTATAATATACATATATACATGTATTTTCTCGAATCTTCACGACCGGTACTAAAAATACAAGAAAACAAAATGAAAGTGTTACTTGTGATACTTAAAGATCTGAAGAAAATAAATTGATCAAAAAGAAAATTTTGGATGAAAACTCGCAACTTCCACAAACATTGGTGGAAAATAATGGTACCTAACTATTTTTTAAACGAGGATTGGCTTGAATGTTTTAGAATGAAACGTACAACGTTTCAATTCATTTGTGATGAACTTGCGATCAGAACTTTGTCTTGCCACTCCATTTCTAATTTCTAGAGAACCATTGAGTGTTGAACTGAAAGTAGCTATAACATATTATTTGGCAAGTTCCCAGATAGCCAAGTATGATATAGCATATCGAGCGAACTAATGCATTGCATGTGTTGCTATATATTTGCTATATATTTGCTGATATCGAAATAGGACATGTAATGATTACAATAATATACCTACTTATGAATGCAATCAGTTGACGAAATTTTAAGAGCAAACAGTCAGCAATAGTAATATGTTATGTTATCAGCAATATATCAACAACAGGTCACCAACAAACGATTAATCGTATTTCATCTTAAGCATCATGATAAAAACATGATGGCAACAAAACATATATAATGATTTCCATCCGTTGTCACATATATGTCTTCAAACATAAAGATTTTTAATTGTAATTCAATGCTAACAAAGTGTTGATAATATGAAATGTCACACGTTTACGGCAACTTTTTAGCAAAAAGACATATAGTTTTCGAGATTTATATACAAGTTAAATATTCATTTCTAATTATACTTACAAATATACATATACTATCCTAAGTACCTGATGTATATACATTGCAACTTTATTAATTATATTACACATAATATAGTAAAATAAAATAAGAAAATAGAAATATGAATAAAAATTAATAACATTCTCTGATTAATTAATATAATTTTGATTAAATAGTAATATAGTTATATTAGAAGCGTTTTCGAAACAGTTTGTTATCTTGAAATCTATTTAAAAATTTCTTCTGATATAATTTTATTGTCATTTTGTTAAAAAATGCGATATTTCTGGACACGCGTTGTTGTTTCAAAAATAATAAGTTTATACATTCTTGATTACTTCTTGAACATTGTCGGTGTTATTTCGAAATATTTACAATGCACTCTGGTAAAAATTATGAACAGAATCGGACAGAAATAGATATGATTTTTATCAGCTAAACTGTAAGCTGTTGATTTTATCTGTACAGACAGCTAACAGAAACCGATAGAAGTCTTGTCTACCTTGGTGGAAATAAATCACTAAAAACAACAATGAAATCGTCGAATTCATCAGACTTGTGAAAAAATACTGAAATACTTATATAAAAAAATGTGACAATATAAGTTTATTAAAATATGTCTATTAGAAATATAATATGTATTTATTATATTTTGATATATAAGTGATAGGTAAAAAGTCTAGAAAAATGAAAATATTTGGAAATGTATTATTTTGATATCACAAATAAATGTATTCAGTATATTGGTATACTATAAAAAATTAATATATATATATATATAAAATACTGTGATCAAATATAAACGAAATTTTTGTTATAGAGTGAAAAATCTTTATTTATTCTTCAAAATCAAATTCGTCGCCTTCAAAATAATCCCCTCCCGATGCAATACACTTATGCCAATGCTTTTTCCAATCCTCGAAACACTCTGAAAACTCTTCTTCGGAATGGCCTTCAATACCTTCTTCGTTTCGGCTTGTATCTCCTCAATCAATTTAAAACGGTGTCCCCGGAGCGGTCTTTTGAGTTTACTGAATAGTCAGAAGTCACACGGTGCTAAATCAGGCAAATACGGTGGTTGTGGAACGATATGGGTCGAGTTTTGGCGAAATGATCACGAAGAACCAGTGCAGTGTGAGATGGCGCATTATCGTAGTGCAAAAACCATGAGTTGTCTGCTCATAAATCTCTTGAGGCGAATAGCTTCACGCAAACAACGTATAACACTCAAATAATATTCCTTGTTGACAGTTTGGCCCGACGGAAGGAATTCATAATGCACTACACCACAATAATTGAAGAAAACAAAACCTGTTAACAAAACCTTGATTTTTGAGTGACTTTGGCGCGATCTTTTTGGTCTTGCCTCACCTTTTGCACGATATTCGCTCGATTGGTCGGTCATTTCCGGTACGCATAGATCCAAGTCTCATCTCCAGTTATCATGCGTTTCATCTTGTCCTGGTAGTCAGAAATTATTGTTTCACACACTTCAACGCGACGCTGTTTTTCCAAAAAATTGAGTGTTTTCGGAACCAAACGAGATTTGACTCTTCTCAAGCACAAATGGTCTTTCAAAATGGTCTGGACTGATCCAAATGAAATATTTATCGGCAAGTTCTCTAATTGTCAATCGACGATTTTAGAGCACCAAATCCTTGATTTGCTTCATGTGTTGTTCATCAGTTGATGTTTTTGGTCGTCTTTGATGTGGTCCATTTTTCTACACTTTCTCGACCATCTTTCAACATTTTATACCAGTCAAATACTTTTGGTCTTGATAGAGCCTGGTCACCAAAAGCTTTCTGCAACATTCTGAACGTTTCAGTAGCAGAAATTTCATTCCGCAAACAAAATAAAATACAATTTTTTGCCCAACAGAATCACACATCGTAAAAATCGAAAAAAATACTTTTGGATATTCACAAAAACGAGCGTTCACTATTAAACAAATGAAGAGAATGACATGAAATTTCACACAGATGTCAAAGACAGTACTACCAACTTAATCAAAAAAATATTTGTCAGAATCGATGAACTCGCGCAGTTTAAATTTAAAAATCTCGTTTATATTTGATCACA